GGGTGATGGGCATTGAGGAGGGCACCTGTTGGGATGAGCACTGGGTGTTGTATGGAAACCAATTTGACAATAAATTTCACATTAAAAAAAATCTGTAAGTCAGGGTTCTCCAGAAAAACAAAATTAATAGGGTGTGTGTGTGTGGGGGGGAGGTTGTGTAGAGGGAGGGAGGAAGAAGGAGAGAGACTGATTGATTTACTATTAGGAATTGGCTCATATGATTATGGACACTGATAACTCCCCAGGTCTGCAATCAGCAAGTTGGAGACCCAGGAGAGGTGACTGTGTAGTTCTAGTCTGAATCTAAAGGCCTCAGAACCAAACTTCTGCCAACTTGAGCCAAATGCTGGCAGACTCAAGATCCAAAATGAGCTGATGTTTCAATTCTACTCCAGAGTCAGGAAAAAATGACTCTAGATTAAAGACAGTCAGGCAGGAATTAACCCTCTCACTCCCAGAAAAGTCAGCCTTTTTGTTCTATTCAGGTCTTCAACTGGACCCCACTCAAAACTGATTAGATGGAGCCACCCACACTAGGGAGGGCAATCTGCTTTACTCAGTCTACCAGTTTAAATACAAATCTCATCCAGAAACCCTCACAGATACACCCAAAATACTGTTTGACCAAATGTCCTGTACTCTGTAGCCCAGTCAGGTTGACGTATAAAATTAACCATCACAGATACTAACTAGCTTTTAATACTAACAAGTAATGCATATATCTTATTTATATGAGAAATTCTGATCGACCAACACAGATTCAGTTTTACAAACACTACTGTTCTCTATTAATATTACTTCTGATTTATCATATACCCTTCAAGTATAAAATAAGATTTTTCTCATTCTACATAATAAATCATTATGTAATCTCATTTAAGGTAAAGAACATCATTTTAGGGATATTTCAAGGAACTTTAAATATGGAAAAGTATTTTTAAGTTTTTTCATATCCATATATATTGTGATATTTTACATATTAGACATATTAGCTTAATAACTGAGCAAAAATCATAGTCTGTTTTACATACTGGATTTTTAAAAACTTGTTTTCTTTAAAGGAATGAAATTTTAGTTGGGTAAGTAAAATAAATTTACCATAAAATGACCTCAGATGCCTAGTTTTTCACTTCATGTTATGACATCCTAGTCAATGTTACTACACACAGAGACAATTATTGAAATGCTTTCATGTTTTGCTATTTAATTTGATTATAGCCAAGTGACTAGTTTTAATATTATTTGTATTTCTTGATTTCCTCCTTTCTACACCATGATTATCATACTAGCTGTTCTGCTTCCATCAGAAATGAAATAATAAAAATATAAATGCTATGGTATGCTTTTACCACCTAAAATTGTTTAAAGAGCTTTCTATGGGTCTGTAAAATCCATTCATGATAAATATATAAAGGATACATCAAAAAAGGACTAAGAATTAATACACTTAAAAGAGATAGAGAATACCTTTAAACTCAGCAGATATTCACAAACAGCATAACAAATGCCAATACCTTCTTCTGTATTAGTACCTCTGCCAAGCTCATCAATTAATATGAGTGATTTGTTATTAGCATTATGTAGAATGTATGCTATCTGGAAAATATAATTTTAATGTTATTCATTGTAACCAAACAGCTGTCACTACCATTTAAAAAAATGAGAAAAATCCAGTCTCTAATAATTCATCCAAAACATATTTTTATAAAGATATCCTGCTAGGCAGAAACTAACACATGCTTTTCTTCTAAAAATCTCATGACTAATAATTTCAATAGAATAACTGATATATACATAAACAGACATGCATATGTGCATGAGACAACAGAGATAAATAACCATTATCTAAAATATTGATGTTTTAGATACAGTGAAGTAAAACTAAGCAATGAATTAAATATCTAAATAAAGCACAAAGATGGTCATTTTCTTCTCCACAAATGACTAATCAATTGTCATAACATACTCAAAACTATTTCTCAAGTTTATTTTAACATCTCTCTAGAGAGTAAAGAGAGAAAAATTAAAGAGAAAGTATCCAAGCCCATTGATTCCTATTTAAACCAATTTAAATACATGCTCAACAAGGACTAACTTTGACAGAAATGCTACTTCTCAACTGAAGAGTATTAATCTCTTTCTCAAAAAATAGAATTCCATCCACATTATGTCCTGACACAAAAGTAAATTTCATGGCCATTTTACCTTTCTATTAAGGCTAAGCTTCTTGAGAGCTAGGACCATTTAAAAATACACCTCAAGCACCTAGTATATTGCTATATTCTCCCACAGATACTCAATACATACTAAATAATTATGTAAAAGTCATACACAGTGTCATAAATAATAACCATTCTCCCCCTATCTACAAAAAGTTATCTAACTCTACAGTGGTCCATTAATTTCTACCTACTTAAGATAGCCCAAAAACTATACTGAATTCCTTTAGCCCTTCAAGTCTATTTGACATCTGGCTCAGATCAGAAAAAGGTGAGGACACATGGATTTTTACAGAAAGTGAAAATTCTAAAGGGGCATACACGATGGTGATTTTTAAAAGCATCCAATCATCTTTTATTTTAAAATCAAGCCTAACAGGAATGATAGATACTATGCAAAATGGTCTTGAATAGGTCATTGTTTTCTGAAAAGTCTTTTATATATTCCATGTAAAAACATGAAAGCATGTTTTTTGTTCAATAATACTAGCTTTTTCTCTAGAAGTGTATTTTTCAGTAAAACCTCTTCCATTTCCACATAAGACAGAAAGTAGGAAGCTGCTGTCTTTGACTGCCCTCTGTCTCTTGTAGAGGAGTATAAGCACATCTGCATGTTTTAGTATAAGGATAGTTTCTTACATAAAAATTGGTCATTAGTGGAAGAATTTAACATGAGTTTAACATAAGAAAAGTTTAGTTTAGGTACCTCTTTCATTTCCTTCATGAATGTTGATGAATTTGTTTCAATATCGTCATCAGTACTGATTCTTGTAAAAATCTGTTCAGCAATTCTAAAGGAAGAATATTCTGCTGGAACATATGATCCTATAAAATAGAAGGTCAAAGTCAATTGAAATGTTTTAAAATATAAGTACTAATATTTTTCACTTTTCACCAACTCATTACTTATTAGCTGATCTAAGGATTACGTAGTAGAAAGATCACTGGATGTAGAGTTAGATGACATGGTCCCAGCTCTGTCACTTATCATGTATCTTTGGGCACCAATTAGACTCTCCCAGTCTCATCTTTCTCATATATAAATGGAAATACTTGCCCTTACTATTGCACATAGTTATTTGGAAGTTAAATAATATAGCATAAATTCAAGTACATTAGAAATATTATAAACTTGAGCACCTGGGTGGCTCAGTTAAGCCTCTGACTCTTGATTTTGCCTACGATAATGATCTCACCATTCTTGAGTTTGAGCCCTGTGTTGGGCTCTTTGCTGACAGTGTAGAGCCTATTTCGGATTCTCTCTCTCTTCCTCACTCTCTGTCCCACTCTCTTGCTCTCAAAGTAAATAAACTTAAAAAATACATTGACTTTAAAAAAAAGAAATATTATAAGCCTCATAAAAATTTTAATATAGTTAGATGAAAAACATTCAAAATATGAAAATTTGAAGGAAATGCTTATGAAGCCTAAATTGATATAACTGTTACAGAAAGATGTATAAGGAAATATCTGTTATTAGAATTGTATAGAAATACCCAGAATTAGAATGAAAGCAAAACATTTAATTTTTTAAAAGTTTTCATCCATGAGTTTTCATCCATGAGACTATTTCTGCCTGAGAAGTTATCATACTAACTAATCTAAAATATTCACCCTTTGAAAGCAAATCAATCTGATTAATGCACCTATCTCTGTACAGAATGAGACATAAAAGGCATTCCAAAATCATAAGAGGATGAAAATATACAATGGGAAAAGTAGCAAGCATATAGAAAAAAATGGTGAAATAATGGGAGTGAAGAAACAAAACCCTGATTGTTTGAGGACTTAAAGCCAAGATAAGGATAAAGAATAGGATTATTCTCTAAGGAAAAATGACCAGCAGGAAAAGAAAGCATAAGTCAGGATAATACTACTAAAAATAAAAGTAGCAATAACAATAGTGATTATATGATCACACCTGAGAAAATAGATCTCTTAAATACAGCTTACTCATAGGATTTCCGGAAGGATCAAGTAGGAAAATAAATGTGAAAGCCCCAAGTGGAGAATACAGCATATACAGAATACATTTGTACTTTCTCCTCTTAGTTCATTTGTATTTACCTTTACCAAAAAGGCTTTCTACATTTTTTTTTTATCTAATTTATTACAGAAGCCCCCAGCTGATATTTTGCTTCTGGTCTGGCTCTCATCTAACCATACATCAGTCAGAGTGATCTATCCAAAGTCAAATCCAATCAGGCCATTCTCTTGTTTAAATTTCAAAAGCTCCCTATAGATCTCTGGGTAAAGTTCAATCTCCTCAGTGAAGTACCTAAGGCCGTTCATGATCTGGCTCCTGCCCATGTCTTTGGCTTTGTATCCTACTACTACTCACAGCCACTCTTTGCTCTCCAAAGGAATTACAAAACCTCTTGTACTTCCTTGGGCATACCATACTGTTTTTAGAACATGTTCTTACTGTGTCTGGAAAGTCTCCTTCTTTTTCACACCCTTACCTTATGTCCATCATATTTTATACCCATTATTTCACTTAATCATTACAACTCTTAGAATTAGATACTATTATAAATTTCACTTACAGATAGGAAAACTAAGGAAGTTAAGTAATTTGCCTAAGATCACAAGCTAGTAACTAGACAAGCTAGGTCTAGCTCCAAAGCCTATGTTCTTCATCTCCATGCCTTTCAAGTTCTACTATTTCCTTTATAATCAGATTATGTGAGATACTATATATACTTCTAGGTATCTTAGAGGTTTAAAATGAGTGACGAGTAGAATGATTTTCTTCTAATATTTGATAGGCTATTATCAAAAGAGACTAGGTTATTCTATGATACATAGAAGAATTAGGACTATTGAGTAGAAGTTATAGAAAGTCAGATTTCAATTCAGTATAATGAACGCTCTACAATTAGAGAGACCCAGCGATTGCATACTCTGTTCTTTTAAAAGGACAGAGCTCCTCACAAATACAAGCAAGATTATTATGTCACATATGAATCAGAACAAGATTAGCTAAGATGTCCTTTTCAATCCAATGAAACCATAAACCAAATAAAATATTTACTCTTCATTCACTCATATCTGATTTTCTTTCCCAGTAATAAGGGTAAATCAGTACTGTATCACCAATATTATTATTGCTGTATTCCCCTTACAATTCATTACATTAGGCCAGGGTTTATCAACCACCACACTACTAACATCTTGGGCTGGATAATTTTTCTGAGGTCTATCAAGGGTTGGGAGGAGGGTGGGGAGAAGACTGTTTTGCGCACTGTAAGATGTTCAGCAACATCCCTGGACTCTACACTCCTCTCAGCTGTGACAATCAAAAATGTATCCAGATCACCAAATTTGTGGGAGTGGGGGCTAGGGGGAGGCAAAATCATCCCTGATTGAGAACCACTGCATTAGGGCAAATCATCTCATTTCGGATTCATAGAGTTCTCAAGGAAACCTAGTTTTCAGAGCTAAGTTGTGCCTCTACACCAAGAAATACACGACAATGTTGGGCTAATGACAGTCATTTATATGCATGTGTGTGCACACATGTGTTAATGTATCAACTGCTGCGCCCAAGTTACTGGTAGCCCTTAATTAAGTAAAAGATGTTTCTCTCCCCAGTGTTATAATTTGGTAAAAATCTTACATGAGTTATTAAGGCAGCAGCTTTCCTACTTATTTCACTTTTTCACAACAAAGCTCGGTTTTCAATCAGAAGTAATGATATGATTCAGTTTAGTAATAATTGATACAATATTAATAGTTACAGTAAGGTAGTTTTAACTTGTTACATCCAACAAAATTTTTAGTACAGTACAATCCAAACTGGATGGAGCTTAACCAATACCAAATAGCAAAAGTTATAGTCTACATAGTAGACACATATACTTTTAAGTAAGAAAACCTCCTCCAAACTTCCTTGGGTTAATTAGGCCCCTGGATCTAAAATACCAGGCACAAGGCATTTTAAATGAGGAGCAGAACTGGTAAGTATAAAGCAAAGCCATAACTTACCAATCTGGGCCATAATCTGACAAAGAGCAATCTGTTTTAAATATGTGGATTTCCCACTCATATTAGGTCCAGTTATGATCAAAAAATTACTTCCTTCTGTAATAAAGGTATTGTTGGCAATAGGTTTTTCCACAGATATTTTTTCAAGAATGGGATGCCAGCCCTGTTTGATTGCTAAAGTATCGGTAAATTCTGGCCGAACTGAAAAAACAAACAAAAAAAAAGAATTGTAAGATTAATATATTTAATGGCCTGTGGTGTTGTACATGGGACTTTACTAGGGTCAATTTGGGACAATAACATTAAGATATTATTTTACCCTAATCTCTACCTAAATCCCTCTAGATTATAATAGACACATTCTAATCACCATCACAACTTTTATTCACTTCCAGGGAACTGTAGGATTTAGTTCCTTGTCATTGTCCTGGGCTCTAAAACAGTTCATAACATTTTCAAATTTGTGTAGAATAAAGAGTCAACTAGCCATTGATGACACTTTTAAAATAACAATCACCAGTACTACAAAATCGCACATTTACTTAATTCCCACCTTCAGCATTATTTCAAATTTGGCGTACTTAGCTTTTCAAGTGGGGTATGAATATAGAGTAAAACCAAATATAAAAATAATTTTATGTCTGAACCTTTATAGACGTTTTGCCTAAAAAGAATACCCAGATAACAGTCAAAACAGACATAAAATATATTGTTAATTTATAGAAACAAATAGTGATGAGGTCTCCATGAATACCTTCCAAGGTAAAGGGAGAAAAAAAAGTGTTTGGGGACAAGTAAACACTAAAATCCTATGTGCCTCTAGAGGAAACACATGGATAAACTCAAAAGTATTCATTATAAAAGGAGGTTGGTTAGAAAATAATTTTTAAACTATTTCAAAAGCATTTTAACACCCAGAGTCATTATTTATAGGTTTGAGTTTCAGGATGATCCCTCTCAAATTAAAATGGGGCAACATCAAATATCTTAATAGTTAAGAAAACTATTATTAAAATAGTTAAGTTAAGGTTTTGACTCCAAAGGAGATCTAACAGACCGAAAAGCTCTGACTTATAAAATACCAATTGAGGGCGCCTGGGTGGCTCGGTCAGTTAAGCCTCCAACTCTTGATTTCAGCTCAGGTTATGATCTTACATTTCGTGGGATCAAGCCCCACATCAGGCTCCATGTTAATAGCATGAAGCCTGCTTGGATTCTCTGTCTCTGCCCCTGCACTGAACTGGTGCATTCATGCACACTTTTTTTCTCTCAAAATAAATAAATACCTTAAAGAAAGAGAGAGAGAGAAAATAAAAAAAGCAATTGAAAAAGTTAACATTTCCATAAGAAACATAAAAATATGAAACAACTTTGTAAGATACTTATTTCCCATCAAAAACTAAGTGGCATAAGTACGTGAGAAATGTTACTGGTGATTTTAACTAGAAATTCAAAGTTATTAATGATACTAAGTCCACAATTATTCAACCTTAATTATCACATACTAGTTCTACAAATTTCTATACTGGATTATAGTTGCTACTGGTAAGCTGGATAAGAAATTTCAAGGGGTTAATTTGAAGTCTTCATTTAATATTAGAAAATCACTTAACACTTATATCCAAGGCTTGTGTACAGACTTGGGATACAAAAATATATGACATAACTCCTGATCTTGAGATGCTCACATCTACGGAACTAGTTCAGAAAATATTCACTTTGGAGGTTCATTTCCCTCGTCCATGTCACACTCCTTCCAATTAGTCTTCAGATTTGCACTTTATCAGTTTGGATCATTGTAATTTCTACCAAGAAGGCAGCTTTTCGATCTTTCCTATTTGGGGAACCTTCAAGTTTCTTGTAGTATTTTATTTTTCATTTATCAATTTCTCAGTAAACAATTTTCCAACTTTTAAAATGAATTTCAAGGGTAAATTTACTTTATTTTGAGTCTTAGTCTAAGACCACAGGCAAGAGACTACATTTCAGGTAAAAAAAAAAAAAAAAGTACAACATTCATAATTGTTATATAAAATTGCTTGAAAGGAATACAAATTTCAGTATGCAACATATTTATCCCAAAGAAAGTAACCTACCATAGTCAGAAAGAGTGCAGGCATGAGCAAATGACAGTAGCATATCCAGCATTGACACAGTGTCAGATAGTTTATATAAGCAATGAATATGTTCATAAATCTCACTAAGCAATTTGCACACTATCCTGAAAGAATATGTTTGGTAAGTCAGGTAATGCTTTTAAAAAGGGACATACAATATAATTGTAAAACAATAAATTCATTGCTAACATAACATTCACAATTCAGTTGTACACTACAGGTAAAGTCTACTGTTCTTTTGCCTCATTTTAGAAATTAAGAAATTGAAGTTCCTTAAGTTCACAGCACTTAGTAGCAAGAATGCATCTTCTGTGGGCACCTGGTGGCTCAGTCTACAAGAATCAGCTACAAGAGTAGTTTTAACTCTTGATTTCAGCTCAGGTCATGATCCCACTGTTTGTGTGATCGAGCCCCATGTCAGTGCCTGCTTGGGATTCTTTCTTCTCTCTGTCCCTCTCCTGTTTGTGCTTGTTCTCTGTCTCTCAAAAATAAACAAACAGTTTTAAAATGTTTTAAAAAAGAATGCATCTTCTGGTGGATTAACACTATGTTTTTGAAATTACTGGTTATTACATATGAATAAAATGAATTTTTATTAATAAAATTATTTTTATAGTCAAACAAGCCCTCACTATACAACAACAGATCCCACCTGCTAATAATTTTGTATTCTTGCAAATGTGAAATTCAACACAAAAGTTACATATTTTCCCCTCTCTTTCTCTCTTGCCACCCCCGCCAACATACACACACCCTAACAACATAATTATTTAAGCTTTTATATGGGAAAGTTATTATACTGTGATATAATATACAAGGTTTTCCTTGGAGGGCATAACTGGCTCAGTTGGTAGAACATGTGACTCTTGGTGTCAGGGTTGTGAGTTCATGCCTCATGTTGGGTATAGAGATTACTTAAAAAAAAAAAAGTTTTTCCCTTACAAGAAGAAATATGCTCCCCAAAGCTACTATATCCATAATTTCTGTGCTCTATGCCCTAAAATTGTTTTGAAAGTCCAATATTTGTCTTTATCATTTCAGGTCACCAACAATGAGTGATCAATTTTTTTGCCTCCCTTCCCCATGAATGATCTATTTATTATTTCTATCTGTATTGCTACTGTTTCACGAACAGCAAGAGATTGACACTATTGTGATATATATATGCGTGCCATGAGAAGTTGAGGGCTTACATACCATAGGAAAAGAATAAACTGAATCAAGCCCAAGATAAGCCCATGATGTGTCAAATTCTACATCATGGTGCAATGCATACTACAGAAGTATCAGTTACATATATATATGCATATATATACATATATATGTATATATATATATACATATATATGTATATATATGCATATATATATACATATATATGTATATATATGTATATATACGAATCTGATATATATATATATATATATATATATACACACACACACACATATATATATATTGCAATTAGATTTGCCTGAATCTTCTATGAGGCTGAGTGATCCCAATCACAGTGACAGACTTTAAACGTTTTACATGTTCTTCCAGGAAATGATCTTTCTTTGCTAACATTCATAATTTTATAATTTTCTGCAATCAGACAAAAAGCCAACTAATGAAATTTATCATAATGCCTCAAATTAACCAATTTAATATTCAAAAATTTCAAATGTGCTTACATATAAGTCATGTGATAGATCTCTCTCAAAGACTCCTGACATCTTTCATTCATTTTAATTAAATCTGTTGATGTAAAGGTATAAGAATTTTTCACTTTAGATATCTGCTAGGAAATGAAAAAACAAATGTCAAGATATGTGTACACTCCTATAAAATAAAACCTACAGATTTTAAACTGTACAGGTATTTAGGTTAATCACTTTAACTTTTGCAACAAAGCATCACAAAGAAACTCTCAAATAATGTCTGCAAAAAAGAAAAGATCACTTTTAAAGTTAAAGCAGGATTTTTTAACCTAGTCTATTCTGGCACAACTATTTTTACAGGTCTTAAAATTAAAATAGCCATGTAGAAATGTTAAACAGTACATCTTATCACCAAGCAACATGCATGACAGATGTAACTTTCACTCCATCTCTCACCCATCTTAGCCCTTGCCCTACATTTGAACCTCACTCAAGCTCTAACCCCATTACTGTCTCCACCCATTCTTTACTTCAGCTATCCCACATTATTTAGTATTACAGTGTTGCATTTAAAAACCCTAGAAGTTAAATGGTTTGTTTTTGCCAAAAGTTACCCCCTGGGAGCAGAGAAAGCAAAATTAGAGTGGGTTAGACTTTCCCAAACTGGTGTATCATGGGGAAGTTAATGTGTATTTAGGAAAAAAAATTTTCCTGGTGCAAAGGTTTGGCAATACTGGATTTTAAAAAGTTAAGCAGATTTCTTTACTTCAGGATTTTTAAACCTTTAATAGGCAAATATGCACTAAGAACTATCTAAAACAGGAGACGGTACAATATTTTCCAAATTCCTTTGATCAAAAATATCCTTGGACTTTCTTTTTTTCATTTTCCTTTTTTATACATACCAAGCTTCCAGAACTGTGGAATGCACTGTTTGGTCTTTCTCAAAAATAAACAAATAAATAAAAAATTTCTACCTCACTCTTAGATTAATATATAACTGTTAGGTGAGTTGACAGGAGTAGAAGCAATATACAGAACATTCAGAAACTTGACATGTAAAATTCAAAGAATGTCTGAAAATATGTAAAATGTAATTCTGCAAAATCAGAAACAACAATTTACTAGCCAAAATGCTAAAATGAACCTTAATAAACTCTGAAGGAAGTTGATTATTGGGAAGGGCTGCACAATCTGTAGTCATCTGGATGAAAAATCCTCGAGCAGAGCTAAAACTTGTCCTTAAAGGAAGACTGTATTTTTCTGCGAGCTGCGAAATCATTCCTAGTGACCAGAAACAGGAAAAACAAAAAGAATTTTAATAAGAAAATTACTCTTTCTGTTTAAAGAAATCACATTTTCTTATTATTTTATATATAAATATGAAGGTCTTACTACTCTTAAACTTATATATAAAGATATTTAATGTCTAACATGTATTTAAGCATTCTTTTAAGAAAAAATTGGTAGTACAAAGGTAGACATTTTGGTAGGTACTTTGGAAGTAAAAACCTCTAAAAATTAAAATAAAAAATAAAACTATTTTATACTTTCTGTATTAGAATATTAGATTTTTTATTCATTTATTTATTTATTAACTTTTTTGAAAAGGAAGAGAATCATATAAATTATAACAATCATTATTTCACAGTAAGAAATTCTCTCTACAAAACATATTTTGCAAAACAAAATATTTCAAAAAAATGGGTGATGTGACAAATAAAATTCCTAAAAAATCAAAATCTTCCTATCAACTTCAAACTCACCACAGAATTATGTGTATGCATATATATATATATATACACACACACACACACACATATGTGTGTGTATATATATATATAT